TTCACAAAAAACCATCCAGATTTTTGATGTTCGATACCAAATAAACTGCTCGTTCTGTCTTCTCTAACTTGATTAAATTCGTTCATGATGAAAAGTGAGCAGAATTGAAAATTTTTTAAAATTTTTGGGCTAGTATAGACAGCGGAGTGAAGCTTCATTCGTTCATTCAGAATCATGATATCCCGTTGAAAACAAACCGCGATATGATCATGATATTGAAAGCGTTAAACGGCAGCAATAATGTTGACCTCCTTCCATCGTTCAAACACAGAACTCCGCAATTCAACGACTGGAGTTTTCGAGCGCTTGGTCTGTTTAAAGGTGGGCTTTCATATTCATTTCGATTAAAGATTCATTAGCTGTGATATTATGAACAACGCGTAAGTTTTCTTCGAATCTATCTAGCCATTTTTTGATATCTTTCCTGACTGAACATGATAGCTTGCAAATTCGGTATTGGTAATGCCTCACACTGGTTATTGAATGCTGACGAAGTGATTGATGGAGCGAGCGTTTGGTTCGAAAAGTAGGTGGGTATATGGAGTAACCGACGAGTATTCATGAAGCGTGAAACTTAGGCGTATCACTATTCCATCTATGAGATAAGTGTGGTTCGAAGTGGAATGCAAGATTGCACTTTAAATGCAAGAGGAATGCAAGAGCCCTTCATTGGCAGCAGATAAGCACTCTTGCCATGTGAATGATCTTTCAGATTCGAAAAAAAATGACAACAGAACTCTGAACATAGGGAAAGGAAGTACAGCTGCTGCATTGTCACGACCTTTCGTTGAATTCATCGTCGATAAGCTCAATTTAACAACTCTTTTGCAACGTTTCGATACGATTCAATACGGCGGTGACGAATATGTGATACCATCTCTAAATTCTGAAGATGCACTTGGTTTGTCACTTCTTGTCAAACCTTTTGTCCAATGTTTTCAATCGTTCACTTCAACTCATTTCAGAATCCTTATCGTAAAATTGAACGCGCTCTCTGAATTGTGAGCAGTGTTGGTTGGTCTCATTCGTTTTTGATTTCAGATTACAAAGTTCCTGAATTTTATAAAGTTTCACGATGATCTCTTGGGCACGAAAATCATATTGTATCGACTTGCAGTTGGAGCAATAGCGTCGAGCAATTAAATTTCCTTATGTAGGATTGAAGTTACTGCTCTATCGAACGTATCACTGACTATAAATCAGCTGAATAAGTGTTGTGTTACTGTACGACGTGTCGCATAGAATGCTTCTTTTAAATGATTATCAAAGCTTGCTGAACAGAAACGAATGAAAGTATTTGCAGATGCTCCAGGTGGTTACACGATGAAATGTATGCATGTTGATACTTCCTTCGTTATGAGGTTCATTTTGACGCATAATTTTCTGAAGATTGATTCGATGCTACAGTTGATGATTAATGCTATTGGTGTAAAAAACCACTTTCCTATGCACCCAATACGTGTGCTGAACCATGACAAAAAGTTTGTGGATGAGTTGAATGACAACTGTTTCGAGCAACTCCAGCTCCAGCAAAAATTGCATCTGTTATGTTACTTCTCTGAACCTAGTTCTACCTCCATGGCGGCTCTGACTTCACGCTTATCCAAATATTGACTTGTGCTCCATAACAACGGTTTCCTCGGTTTCTGCTTCGGCATGCTCCAGATCCAAAAAATAGTTATCGTCAAGAGCAGCCAACCCTAGTGCATTTCGTTACGAAATTTTCTCGGGAGTGGTATCCAAAAATACTGTATATCACAAGCATAGACCAGATATCAGTGGAGATCACACTGCAAGATCATTTTATTGTAGTCCATCATAAGAACTTCCTCAACGTTCAGTTATGAGTTTCCGATTAGGAAACAGTTTTTTAAATATTCACAAGCTGCTGACATTTCTTGTATGGTCTTTTTTCCCCACAAAGTATCAAGCATCATGCTAGAGCATAATTCAGGTATGCAGTGGAGAACACGCGTCCGTGCTATAGCAAACGCTATCGTCATGGTTTTTGTGTATTTGGTATTAAAGATCTGAAGCTATTACGTGGATTAAGATGCTTATTCGGTAATAAGATGGTACCTGAAATCGATTATGGCGTTATTTCTTGTTGGGCGAAAGAGCTACACAATAGAACATATCATCAGCAAAATCATACGGTTGATCTGAATTTTTATCCAAACATGAGAACCGTTGTATTCAATAAGGAGAAGCAAAAGTGGCGGTCCAATATGAAAGCATTCAATTGCACAGGATGAGTGCGGTTATGAACCCGAACATCTGATGGTGCCTTTCTGAGAGTGCTATTGTTGTTTCAGTACTCACCAGCAAATGAAAATCAGCAGTACTTCCATTGTGTGCTCATTCTTTCTTCATTCACCTGCAGCAATTAATTTTAAAGTTTACGCATGCTCGATAGTTTCATTCGAACATTCTCTTGTGATGCTGCGTGAAAGAATCCTATAAACTGGAATCCGGTCACTTATTCTGATAATCTAGCGAATATAGCTTTTCCAATAATTTGTCGTACCCGCGTTCGCGTGCTATTATTCACTTCATAATTTAATCTTCTATCTCGGCTCGTTTCGTAACTTCATTGTTGTTTATGAAGTTTTGAAGGAATATGTGTCGCGTTGTTCAAGTCACTGCCTCTTCTGTGGTCGCAGTTTTTCGTTGATCTTCTCGTATTGTGAACATCGAATCACACGCGCTCACATTAAATCAAATAAATCTGGTTGAATTTTATGAGATATATCTGGATTAATAACAATCTTTCAGAATCCTTATTGCGGTTTTTAGATTATTGCGCTTGAGTATTCGGATTCGATGTAGAACTCAATATTACACCAAAATCAACGCAATCATCAACTTCCTCACTTGTTTCCTCACCCATTGTATCTGTACAGTTCTCTTTCTTGTTGTGCCTTTGTTTGTTGTTTATTTGAAGATAAATGTATCTTATTTTTCACCATTAATGGAATAAACGGTTTCATTTTATCAGTATTTATCGTTCAAAATTTTGCACGTTTGGATGAAATGGAATAAGTCAGAACTGTGAACAGAGTACAGCGCTGCAGTGCATATTCACCAGTCAAATGAGCAAACAAGACAACAACTATTTCAGCGGGAATTACCTCATCATACTCGTTTACATCATAGAACTGAAGGAATGGAATGCAGCCGACCGAAAAAAAAATCTCAGACTCCCAATGAGTGTTCGTGAATTCAAAAATCGAAAGTCCAAAGAAAACCATAATATGCATTCTCAAGCAATTTCTCCGTTGATTTACGCACTCTGGATGCACTCCAGCTACACTACAACCGTAAGCGATCGGAAATTGATTTAGTCGTGTTCAAATCTTCTCTCAGCAGATTTCTTTTATGCGGCAGAAAATGACGAATGATGTCGAATGTGGATTTGTGTTAATGAGAGACATACGAAAACCACGTTCAACTTTGTATATGATCAGCAAAACTTGTTAAATAGAACAAAAAGCATACAAAATATGCACGTGGATGTTCATACATAAATTATCAAAATATCACAATAGTACACATTTAAAAGGAAGTGCATGTGATGAAACGCAATGGTTGGTAAAGTATAAAATAATCCGCTGAAAGATAGTGAATTCAACAGGATCACTATCACAGTTCCGACTGCTGATTTTATCATACAATTGGGGTTGATATATATATATATATCAGAAAACAAAAGTTCGACAACACAAACACGATTGGAACGAATCGATGGAGATTTGAAAATATCGCTCGATGAGTGTGCCGAAATGTTGACGAATTTTAAAAGTGCTCCAATCACATTTTCCCTCAGTCATCACAATTTCATGGTAAGGAATCGATCGGAAATACTGAACAACACTTGCGAACAAATGCTCCTAAGCAACTAGTCAACCCGTAAAGTTGTCATGAACGTAAATACTGCCGTCAACATTGAGCAAACGAACGCTGTTTCATTTTACGTTCAACACTTCAACAATATACTCCTTTCCATATTCTCGAAATAAACCATCATAAGAGGCTGGCTTCTAATTTCAACTAAGCGTTTCACATGTACACAAATAAGGTTTTGCTATTATTGGAATCGAAAAACCCATCGATGTAATGGAATAAAGCAATACAAAGCAATTAGGCCTCATTCGCTTCCATATAATTGTTTCGAACAATCTCCCAAAATGAACGCCCGTATTTGGAAACAGCAAAAAAATACGAAACACTTAAAATCATCGATATGAATGACAACCACGTGTACCAATCCACTTGTTCCTTGGGAAGCGCACCTGAATCACAAATTAAGATAAAGATTTGGAACATTTATAAGTTAACGTAAAACATAAATCCAAGAATACACATTTTCGTCTCCCTACTCTAACACAGATCGTAATCATTCAGACCTGTTCTGTAAAATAATCTGAGAACCCAACGAAGAGACAAAAAAAAAACGAAGAATGAGTGAATCTAACATGGTAGAGGTCCTTCAAGATCAGCCGCATTAATTTCAACCGATCGAACACCCTCAAGATCAGTCCATTTTTCGATGAATTCTTCAAAAGCACGCAACGAGAATGGTTCATCGTCCATTCGCGCCACTGCCATCCCATCCAACCATAACATTATTGTTGGTGTTCCAGAAATCCCATAACGACTGTGCAATCTGCATGCATGCATGTCAGTGAACAGGCAGCCGAATCAAGTAATATAGTAAAACTGATAGTAATGTCATCGATAATTCATAAAACAAGCAATGAAATGTAACCTGCTATATTCAGATGCATCACTCGCAACTACACGCAGTTGAGGATACACTCTGGGAACGGCATGTAGAAATGGTGCCATACGAACACTGAATATGCAATCTGGTGCGTAGAATACAGTCAGCATACACAACGGTAAATCAATATTATCATTCATCGCAGATATTAAGTGCATCAATTCAGCTGATTTCATAATCTCAACCGTTGTATTGTGCTGTTGACGTGCTGAAATTTTTTATGTTATTCGTACAACTGCACTCATTATTCTTTACATATTGTGATATGGTTTTCGTTAGGATGAATATAACCACGCTTTTCTCAGAAGATATCAGTGCAGACAGATAGAAGAGTTATTTTATTTCGGTGTTTCTTCTGAATCAAACACGGTTGAAAGGGCTTTGAATCGAATAATTTCAATGAATAAGGGAGAACACGTTGGAGTGTTCAACACACGTAAATGAAGCTTTCACCTGTAGAGCATCTGATTTTCAGATCTGAAATAAAATCGAACGGTTTATCAATAATGCACAGTGGAGGTGCAGCTGGACACTGCTTGTTGATCAGCATATAGAATGCATCTTGTGGATAATCGCATTGCTCTGAGACTGAAAATTAAGGACAATCAAAAATTCGACAATGACAACTCATACGATTACTAACATCATTACCTAAATGAACGGATGCGGCGAATTCAGTAGAAGTTATTCGTGTTCTTATTAGGAAAGCAAAGAAACTGTGAAGCTTTTTGAAAGTTTACAAAGCATGAATCTTACCAAAGGAATGTGTCAACGCATCAATTTGCTCACTACCACTGGTGGCGTTTGACGGTAGATTTAATTCACGGTGGATGTTTCGATCATCATCGCCGTCATCATCGGCTTTTAATACTAGTACCAACCATATCAATAAATAAAGCCATGTAAAACAATCCATAAGAAAAAATAGAATTCAAATTAACGAATCGCTCGCGAGTCTTCTTGCCTGCACATGTTGCCACACATCTCTCGCGTAAGCAATTGAGTGTGTTGCACACTACTGCACTCTAGCATTTCGATACAATGAGCTATGATGGACGACTACTTCATTGAGGACCATTCTTTCATCATATTAAAGAATTCGATTGCATTACAAAGCGCTTGCTTGCGAAATGCGATAAGCGCTATTGCATACGTATTTCAAGGCACGTTCTCTGATTCGCCTCGCGAACAATCTCACATCCACTTCCTCAATCGGAGACATTTCCACTTAACACCTGGCGATTCTGCTTACGATCAGATGGGTGTATGGATGGGTGTATGCATTTTTCGAATCCCTTAAGCAGCCTACCAACCCTTCAGACGATGTACCAAATTCATCTGATTCAGATGATATGCACCGAAAAAGCGTTTGCATCCTTCTCGAACTGCTTTTTTGCGTGAAATGAACATGTAACTGATACAGTAATTGAATTTTTCGGAAAATTCTTTTTATTGTGAAAAGTCGTTATTCAGGCACGACAAATCGCACGATTAGAGCAGAAACTATGGATGTGCGAAGTTTCAGTCAACTTGCGCTGAATCGTTGCTTGACCAGATCGTTTTCGGAGCTATTCTACGAAAAACCAACAGATCTACAGCAGAAAGCATTAGTGCCTATCACCGAAGGTTTCCTCCAGTTTTGCACTTGTTTCCCTTCCAGAGCTTGGCTGATGCAATATTCTCTTGGAAACTGGAATGTTTTTGATGATCGCAACAAATGACGACATGTATCAATCGAGAGTATTTTCATTATCAAATCCCAGTCGTGATTTAATGTGCAATCTAACGTTTGGAAATTCCCCAGGCGCATTTTGTATGCATGACATAAGTACTGTCGAACGAATTAAAGGCTTGAAGGTCAACTCTTCACAGTTCAGAATCTGAATGACTTCGATGAATATCTACTAGTTCTTGAAATAATCTCGAGACTTCTTTCTGATACAGGCAAAGATACGTATATCCGTTGCTTCTCGGGCTTCGGTATGGGCAAGCGTGTGACGCTGGCGATTGGTATCGTTCAGAATATCAGTTTCAATCGCCAAGATGTTCGACCCGGCAAAGTTCAAGCAATCATCATAACGCGCATCAAAAGTGAAACTTGTGAACTCACTGCTTTTGAGTCAACACAGAAACGCGCTACGAAAGTAAGTGACGGTCAACATTCAAAAACATCCTTGCCAAGAGCATGTCACTATCATTTTACTGTTTGACATTTCAGTTGAAGGAAACACTTCAAGCAGTTGGCAAGTATCTGGGTGTAAAATGTACTGTTTACATCTCGGATAATAATCGTCATCAGATCGAGTCTTCAGTTCGATTATCGCACGTTCTTATCGCATCACCAAGCAATGTTGTACGACTTCTAAAGCATCGCACTATTGGTACGATTCATCTCCGAGATTGAATGAATCATTTCAACTCTATTTGATATCATAAGTCATAACCTGAAGGCAGTAGTTTCTCAGCGATACAGACAAACATCCGCTTGCACGACGATTGTTTGTGATTTTTACCAAAACATTTCTCATCAGTGTGATTGCTCATTTAAGAACCCAATTCTGTGAAAATAATCGTATTCGATGAAGCTGATTCTCTTTTTCCGAACGACTTGGACGAAACGGCACTGAACGATCTGCACAATATTTTCGCGATGACCGCCGAAAATGCTCAAGTAAATTTGAATGTTTCGCATTTTTAAATTCTCTGATTGCACATTTTCAAATCTGAACGTTTCGCATCGCTCCGCACATCTCCACTAAAAAATCAGTTTGAATCGATCAAACACAATAAGCTTCACCTCAAAAACAATACTGGGCGAAAATTCAAGCAGAAATTTCATTCTGAACGTATCGCTTGTCGAAAAAAAAAGATTACGGAGGAGAGTGAAACGTAATTTGCAACAGTCTTTATTAGGAATTGTTGCGAATTCTGTGTATTCCTTTCGAAAGCGTTCGTTTAGTTGAGAACAGAATTGTTTATGCATCGATCATGTTTGATGGTTGTGTGTGTGGTGNGGTGTTTGGATGACAATGAAAATTAGCTGAGATGACCGTTGAAAATGATTTGAGTTTGTGATAATGACAAGTCAGCGAACACAGACGCTCGAAGATTATATGAAACGAGTGGACTTGAATCCAGCGCGAGTTGAAATACAGTTCAACTATGACAACATTAACCATTATCGCCTTTTCATTAGTGAGGTATGCGATTGGAAATGTATTGTGAATGAGTAGTCGGTTGGAACCTATTTATCTGATATGCCAATTCTGTCGTTTGTTTCAGTTTGGAGCGTTGAATTATCTTGATTGTTCTAGCGAATTTTTTCAAGCATCAATCCGATTCATTGATCAGTTGAATGATTCAGATCGAAAAAGGAGAAGCATTGATGACTCTATTACAAGGCCATAAAAAGGGTAAATTTGTAATTTTCACGCGTTACGCAGAATGCGCCGAAGAATTACAAGCAGTGTTCGAAAGTGACGGTTCACTTTTTCTTGTATGTTCTGCATTTAATTAGGATATTTTGAATAGTTTTGTTCAATGTATGTTATGAGAACTTTGATTCAATCAGAGAAGATATAGTACCTCCTCGTTGTTTATATTTAATTACTCAGTTTAACAGTTTATTCCATGATGATGATTCCGTTGAAAATGATGATGATTCCCTTCAAATTTCGTTTGTTCGTTCCATTGTTGAATTTACATTTAGATAATTTCTCGACGACACATATTGACCATCTTCCTGATGTTAGAAGTCAGGAAGAAAATTTATGTAAGAAAATATTTTTCAGCATTACGATATGCCGAAATCGGCCAGATATGCAGTTGTAAGTAAATTCTTGAATGGGAAGAACTATCGATGCCTGTTTGCAACAGACAATCTACCTGATCGAAGCATTAGAAACGGACAAATATCACTGATCATCAACTACGATTTTCCGAATCGTCGAAACTATGCGCATCGGTCGAGTGTTGAATTTGATTCGATTGTGCTACATTAGCAGCTGGATAATATTTTTGAGTAGGATGGTATAACATGAAAGTAACCGTGACACTTTGATAACCACATGGTGACAGTTTACATTTGCATACTGCGAATTGCTAACATCAATTTTGGTTGCATTAGCGATTTTGAATCAGATTCTGCACTCACTCATTGCCAGATGTACGACGAAAACGTTGCAATGGGAATGAGATCAGTTAAACATCAAAAAAGTGAGTTCCATCAATCAAAAAATTGAGAGCCATTCATTGAAACTGAATTGATTGCAGATTTGTGCGTGCCGGGTTGATTGGTGCTGAACGCGGTGATATAATAAATTTTATTTGTGTTGAAAATTTATGCGCAATGCGTTCAATCGAAAGGTTTTATGGAATCACGCTCAACAGATTACCGAATGATTACATACCTCCAGTCACACAAAACTTCGAAGATTGAAAATCATTATTGCTTTTATAGAGCCGAACTGAATCTGTTCCTTAGCGAGTATGCGAATTCATTATGTAATACATTCAATTTGTTAAAATAGCAAGCGTACATTTCAGGATGTATTATTCCTTTGTTTGATAATTTCTGTTTACTAGTTTCAAATGTGACTTGATTCTAGTGCAATTTGAATGGGATTTAGTCTTATCTTATCCCATGTTGGTGCTTTTTGTTCGTAAATCAATTTGTTAGTATTATATCGTTCATATTATCATCATTTGTGTAATTATTTTGCTTCCATTCGTCTCATATGTTGTATTTTTGTCAAACATTCATTCAGTGAAGCGGATCATTAATTTTTCCCATTTTGTAAATTTGATACTGCGTTCATTTCATTTTTGAAACTGAATAAACTATTTATTCATACCGAACAATAACTTTTTATGCAAATTTCGCCTTTCTTCATTGCCTTCTCAAATGTTTTGACACGAAAACTGCATTGACTTGTACAAATTTCTGCATAATTGATGAAATGCTTGTATATATGTATGGCATGACACCAATTCTTTAACAATTTCGATAACGTACAAAAATTGAGTAATCCAGCATCAATCGAATGCATCTCACAAAATAACATTCACGATATCATTGTATTATATGAGTTGTTCTCATGGAGGGGGAGAGGGTGAAATTACCCATTTTGGGTAATTTGCAGGTGTCAAGGGAGGAAATTATTATTCTGTGCAGTTACTACGTTATGATGGAACGTCATTATGACGATTTTTTTAAACAAGGATATGTAAATGCGGTTAATTTGAACTAAAGGCTAGTGTGGACTAACGAGGCTGAAATATACCCGTGTAGAGTATTCACTGACTGCACAGTACATGCATTTTGAGTTTGATCGAGTATTTCAATCGCTTTTATTAACATTAATGAAATTATCAGTGTGCGATAATAGTGATCGTTGTACCTTCCACACGAAGAAGGCTTTCGTATTAGAAAGACTATTGAATGCAGAATATGAATGGAATTAGCACAAATTTACAGTTGGAGTTTGAAGCCACAAAGCGCA